CCTAGGAAGCAGAGGGCTTCGTACCCCTACTCCCACTTCTAAAGTTGAAAATTTGCGTCCATCATTGCGAAAACCACGCTTGGACGATTCTTGTGTTTCGATGTTATACAGTCAGTACTGGCATATGCAGAAAGTCAAAACCGCCATCAGTTTGCTACTAAGCGATTCTCAAAAGAAGAGGTTGCCGGCTGCGGAATGTTCGTGGTACCTGTTGCTATTCGGCCTAGGTCGCCAGGTGCTTTCGACTTTCATAAAGTGAAACTTCATTAAGAGGCAGCTGTCAGTGCTTTGAGTGAAGAGATTAGCACCTAGTTACCTTGAAGGCTGCATGTTCGTTCGTTCTGTCGTTTTGGTGCTGTTTCGAAACCGATTTGAATTGTTCGCTTGGCTGAAATAGCATTTCAGTGTCACGCTGCTCTAGCAGTAAGTTGGGTAGGGATCGCTTTTCCAGGTCTTTCCACTCGTTAAGGCTAAAAAAAATGTAACAGCATTTTATGTTAAATTATATTCTGTCCCCTTCTTGTACAAAGTCTTTGCAAGTAAACTTCTGAATGGAACTACTGTGTAAGCACAGAGCAGAGTTCAGATTCGATTGTTCGCAGCGGTCCCGTGAACAGTGATGACCTCTACGACTATGTGATTCTGACGCAACCGCTCAAATATCCGACTATTGTTCTCGCTCGTGACCCCTTCGATTTCGATACCAAATACAAGCAGCAGGTAATGCTTTAAATTTCGCAATTTACACGGATTATGCAAAACCTGTGTTCATAAAGGTTCCCAGAAATGGCAAGTTTTTTCCAAGAGCAAACAGTTCTCCATTTATGCGTGAAATCGCCGGATTTCGCTCATTTCGTATTTTTGAGTTTCGTAAAAGTCGAGCATTTTATGAATATTTATCTAATATTTAGAGTGGATTGTTAGATTTAAGCAGAATTACAAACGTTATTTAAAGAGTCAATACTAGCGAATTGTGAAATATATTGAAAGCATCAAAAACTGAAACTTGTGATAACACATACAAAAACAAAAACTCAGCTAGGATTAGACAATGTGTCTCGATCCATGAAGCTGTAAACAACTTAATTGAGCACCACAACTAAACTTCGTCAGAGAGATAGTTGTGATAAAAATTAGCCCTATAATAAAATATGAACAAGGCCGTACATCTACTCTACTCCAGCAGTATTATCTAATTCCGTTTTTGCTCGCCATAAGGCTTTAATATTTTAAGAATTTGACTGAATGATCATCATGTGGTTCTGGATTTACTGTAAAGCAGCATACTACAATTATAGCGGTCCAGACCCTTCTATATTGAAATACTTGTCACAGTTTCCAGTAGACAGCAAAAGTTGCTAGCTGCACAGACAAAGAACACCATAGATTATGATTATCTTCGAGTAACGTACACGTATCATCAGAAGTTATCTGCTTAACAGCACGTTGCAGTTCCCACATTTTAGCTCGCCCCTGCGCTGTTCTTAGGAAGTGTGCAGTTATATATGCTTCTAAAGTAAATAAAAAAATGCCGGTAAAAAACTTTTAATCTGTCAAAATTCGTGTATTTCAGGTTAAGGAATTCCTGGAAAATCAACGGTTTTGGAACCCTTCCTCACCATTCAACAGTGCACTCGTGTTTCTAAACACTACAAATTGTTTCCGGACAAGCCAGTACAATATGGATCTGTAAAGTTGTTGTCGCAATCATGTATCTTCCGAGTATGTCAAATAAAAAGTTATTTTGCTGCTTTTGTGTGTGATCTGCCTTTTAGAAGGTTCTGAATAAAGTTTCCAGTAAGAATAACGATTGCTGGGACTCAGAATTCTACTAGCTGGTGGAAGAAAGGAGAAAACTGTAGTTTTCATTTCTTGGAAAAGTTCTTGCAGAAAGCATATAGTTTTTGCTGTGTTTAACTTCATATTCCAACCATAATCACATAAAAAATCCTACTGAAAATTATGCTGAATTTCAAAAAGTCGCTGGAAACCAAATATTTTTGTCACAATAAAGAGTGCATTAAGTCTGATTGCGTAAAATCTGCGAGCATAGGTCATTTTCGAACGCAGTCTCCAGGGAGCTGTTATAGCTGCTAGGCAGCGATTTCGTTGTCATGGAGAAACTACTACACGGTGAAGGTTGTTAAGATGCCTCAGGACTCACTGAGTATCTTTTCTGAGTGCTAAAATGGAGGATCGCTACGAAGGCTTCAACGACTATGATCATGTTTATGACGCACAGGTACCACTTATGATACCGTTGATTTTTTTCGGCAAAGTTGGCCTCATCAGATTCAGCTGGATTTAAAAATTCTGTTCAGTGTGAGCTACTTAATGGACTGGCACACTCGTTAGACTTTTTTATTACTTCTTTTTAGTATAAATTCATTTTCTTTAAATTTTCTTCATGCCTAGCCAATATTCTGAAGCTGTCTGCTAAGTACTAGTGTTCCAATAACTCTGTAATCTCGTTCGTAATTGCTTCTGATTCGACAACCCTGAAAACGACTAATGAAATTACCCGAGAAGAGGTGTTTTGCAGAATGTTCTTGGCGACGAGGTCTTTCAGCAAGCCGTGGCCCGATCAAGCTATGGACGAAGACCGGTAAATAAACTTTCCTCAGTAAAAAAAATGCACACTGAAATTGACCGTTTATGTGTTTTCGTTGAGTTTTTCTTAGTGCTTATGATAATTTGGATTTCAGAAAAGTTCAGCAATGCGGCCAGGCACATTACGTCTTACAACACCAGTCAGTCGTGTAGATACAGCAACTGCAGGTCTTAGAATGGGTACGGCAACTATGTTAAGATCAACTTTAGGCTCGCGAATAGGAAATGAACCAAGCAGACCAATGACCGCTGTACGTGGTGCTGGGTACTCGTCCGCTGGCCGAGGTATTTCTATTATAATGCTTTCACTTCAATTTACACATCGAATCAAGAACGGATCGTGTAGTCAGAAAAACTTAAATGAGTTATAATAACTGATTATCACAAGTTTCTCTCCAGTTATAATGCTAAGAAAAAAAAACCTACATTTTCTAAGCACTAAAATAAGAAAAGAAAACTGTTAAGTTAAAATAATGGAACTGACCTAGTAGCCTTATGATCATGCGATTTGCACATTTCTGCTCGCGGAGCTAGGATGACATGTGTAAACTAGATTTAATTTTTACATGCAAAAGCTGAATTTCATTTTTGCGAAGTCGCAATTAAAACAAAATTTCATAACATAGCTGAGCTGAAAACCACAGAAAAATCTGAACAACTATATATAGGAACCATCTCGACAATATA